GGAAACTTCACCGCCGCGAGGCGAGCGCGGGCCCCGGCCGGGCCCGGGGTCGGCGGCCGGCGGGGAGAAACTTGCCCCGTGCTCCTGCCGGCGCCGCGGCCGCGCGCGCGCAGGTGCTGGAAGCAGGGCAGTRAAAACACGGCAGTAAAAAAAGGCARTGAAAAATAAAGCAGTAARAGCACTAGTTGCTTTGCGGGGTCCTGCCCCGCCTGAAATGTGAACTCCTGTTCGCGCTTGGCATTCAAGGCGCCCTTTCTTTTTTCTTTTTTTTTTTTTTTTCTTCCTTCCCTCCTTCCCAAATGGAGAATGGAGCATGTGTTGTGCTGCCCTTATCTGGCCAAGATACCATATGGCATCTCCGCGTGTTTTGCATTCGCCTRTGGCCGTATGATGCAATATTTTGCCTCTTCTGGGGCCCTGGTGATGCAGCATCGTCTCTTTCTGGCTTTGTGTCCAAAAGATAGGAAATAATTAATATTTGCCTTTTTTTCCCCCTTTGTTTCCTGTTTACATGAACTTTCTAAAGAGGCTTTCTTCAAGCTGACAGTTTTTCTCTGGTGAAGTTTCTATTGAAGTTTAAGAAAAAATCATGGGAAGCCTTCATCTGAGTTTTTGGAAACTGCTTATTATAAAGCCTGTGGTGACAGAAGTGAAGAGTTCTGCTGGGATGGCTGCAGCTTTGCAAATGAGCCCCTAAATATAAAATTTATTAAGTGATTCTCTTTAAAATGCCAAATTCATCCTTTGTAGGCTTRTTAGTAGTTTTAGATGCGGTAACAAGAGCTAGGGAAAATGTTGCAGTAGAAGATTCCAGACCTGATTTTAGTCAAAATATTTAGATTTTCAGTGTAGAGATAGTTCAGGGTAATCTGCAGCTTACAGCAGCGTCTCTTTTTAGTGTAACGTGCCAATTTACCTTCATCTGTCCTAAAGCCAGTAGGCTTTTTTTTTCTTCTTTTCAAACAGAAATCAGGACACTGATTGATAGCCCAGAGACTTGGGGGTAGGTATAAGCTTTGTGGCTCTTTTAAAGAGGGTATTTCATGCGTGAGGAGTAGCCTAGACAAAAGTGTAGCATTACTTGTGTGCAAGATGCATTGCTTCTGATTAAATCAATATTGGACCAGTAAAGATGTTGGAATATGTGAGAGGTAAAAATAGGATTTTTTTTTCTGTCCTTCTCGGTTGAAACGTCTCTATTGGCATGGATTTAAGAAAGCTGTTTTCACAATTATCAGTGAGTACTACCTCCCTCAAGGAAGCATTTTTTCCAGCGTTATGAATGACTACTTCAAGCCATATACTGGCTGCCTTTAGGGTAGAGCTCAAGTTGAAGAAGAAGTTATTCTTGTCTGTCTTGGTGATCCTCAGGTAAAGAGGCCTTGATTTCTAAGAGATCACTTCATACACATGCCAGCAAATTATATGTGCTTATTCAATACAGCTAGTAGAGTCTGTCTAGAAGAGTGCTAGGTTTTGTTTTAGCGAGTTGTGTTCGGAGAATGGGCAGCACAGGTTGTCACATTTCTTCATTTCCACATTTTCCACCTCAGTACAGGTCAGCCTAGAAAGGTTTGTTGGTTATTGAGTGAGCATTAGAGCAAGACCTCACAGCATAGGTCATCTTTATAACTGTATAAGGAGCCTCGGTTCAACCTGGGTGCTGTTAGCCATGGAGGCTCTTAATATAGAGGTGAAAGAAAGACTTTTTGACCAAAAAAAGAAATCTGTGCCAAGTGCCTGAGGCTGAAGGGCGGCAACTGTATGACCTGCATACAAAGGATTGTAGCAGCCAGACTAAGATGAAACAAAGGTATGGATTAAAGCTTGAGAAACAAATTTGTGTAGCAGCTGGAGAACCGTTGGCTTCCTGCCCAAACGTCGGGTTTGCATCTTATTAAGCTGGGATCAGTAGGAGCACTGGCGAAGGAGGGGTGGCACCGCGTGGCGAGGAGCGCACGCACGGTTCGCTTTCCCTTGCAAATAATGTTAGACACGGCTAGATCGCTTTGATTTATTCAAGAAAACAGTGCATTGGTGTGTTGCAGCTTGCATTTTCATATTCGGTGATAAAGTGTGTGCAGTGTTAGCATGGTTAGATAAGAAAGTGTTTGTAGAACAGTGCTGGAAGCAGGGTGAAYGATGTCTTTCTTAACTGCTGAAGTTACTCGTTACATGAGATTTTCTCGTTAGAGCGCTGGTGGGCTGCCTGCAGCCACTCGCAGCGTAGTGTAAATATTTGTCGAGTCTTTCCTCAGAGAACTGATGAGGAGAAACTAGTGARGTATCTAATTTCATTTAGTTTCCTCCTATGTTCACATGTTTTATTAATAAAGGAGGCCTGCTTCTATTGTCTGTTAAGAATATTTTATATGCCCTAGTGGCGTTTTGGAGTAGTGAAGGCTGCAACGTAAAGGACACGTGGGAACTGGAGCATTGTGATTTGGATGCAGCTCTTAGAGGCCACTTATCACTGCAGTTTAATTGATCAAGTCTGGCTTTTTATTGTAAACAAAAAGTGTGACAGGCTGTTTTGATCACCACTCATCTGTGAAACCACAGAATAGAGCACAGTTTGTTTAAGATGGTGCACAAAAGAGATGGGGATGGAAGCTGCMCAAGGCTCAGCCTGGGCTGTTCTGCAGGGCACTCAGTGACTGCATCCCTCCGTAAGGGCGGGGTGAAGACACAGCTCATCCACAAGTTCAGTATCGAAGGAGAAAAACTCAACAACCATTCGTAGTCCTGTATCTGTTGACACGAGACATTGCGTTATGGTAACGTGTGGATTACATCTTGGTAATCGTTAAGGAAGATGCTCTCGACCTGCCTAGCATGTGTATACTTGCAAATTAATTAGACCTTCAATATCTGGCCACTTGCGAGTAAGACCTTGTTGTGAAATTGGGCACCTGTTTGGAAAAATCAGATAGTGTCCTTATCTGAATTGTACTGTCCATAGAAAAATGCTGAATTAGTAAGACACCCAACTCTAAAGCGTTCACATTGATTGTGTACAGACACGTGCCTACACTCTGTATATCCAAAAGAATCCRAATTAGAATTGACAAGTAAACTGTTTGCTTTCCAGGATCTGGATCCATTCTAGGGACCTTTTTTCAATGGAATGAGTCAATGGCTGGAAGGGAGATAAGCTTCCGCACGCCTCCAACAGTGGGCTGCAGTGATGCTAGTTCAGTGCTGGATGAGAGAAAATATAATTTCCTTGAGAATAATTCAGCTTTAACTTTTTTTCTGGTTGTTCACTGCTGGTGAGTGTCCTCACTTAAGCTTTTTTTGTGTTATGCTGGAGTAGAAAAGCTGCTTTATATTGATTATAACATCCCATGAACTTGTTGTCATCTTTGTTTTTTGTTTATCAACTGCATTACAGCCACAACACTTAAAATATATTAGGAAATAGCATGACTAGGGACATGCAGTGTTGCTTCCCAGATAAAATCTTGCTGGGGCAGGCTTGCCACTTGATAATCTGATTAGATAAGTCTTCTTCCTTGCATACGAGATTATCCTTTGGAGGTTATGATGTAATAACCTCAGCACCTGAGAATTTTCTGAGCCTGCCTTTAATATGCATTTGGTATAGATAACAATTTAATGTGCAGGTTATTGCTTTTGAGCAGATACAAGGGTATCACAGGAGATCCCATTACAAGCTGAGGCATAAAGATCTTCGTATATCTTGTGCCAAATTACAGTATTTTTTTTCCTTTTGCTCCAGCAAACTGGGCTCATAGGATTTTCACTTGTGAGAATTCTCGTATCCAGAAACTTCCTTGTCTTTAGCTTTTACTCAGTCGGGAATTGCTTCTGACTAAAGTTCAGTGGCAGTGGTTTTATTTGCTGGCATGTCCTTCCCTTTCCAGGGTTTCACCTCAAGACAGTTCAGTTAGGTGTTCAGGAGACCTTCTGTTTTACTTTGCAGTTGGAAGATGTCTGACACTTGTGCACTTTTCCCTCCCTTCCTCGCATGAGAACTGGCTGAGTTCCTGAATTTCAACTTGCTGCCCTTCACAGTCTGATAATCCGACGGTTAGGATTGTACGGTCATCTGGGGTGGTGCTTCTGAGTCACTTGCTCCAAATGCTGCAGACACCCCAAGCATTCTTTGAGCACAGATGCTGCTGAAAGACAAACCGATCCTCAGTTTTCACAGATGGGAAGCGTCCTGCGCTCTGCATGCCAGAGAAACAATCCTGTGTGTATGTGAATCCTTATTTTGGGACACACTTCATGCTCTGAAACTATCAAAAGTCAAGGGGAAAAATACCCATCAAGGACCCAAGTGGTCTGAGTTTTAGTCTAGAAGCTTCTGCATGTCAGCTTGTTGCTGCGTGTGTGCAGTAGGAAGTCACAGAGGCTGGGAAGAGTATGTTTAACAGCAACAAAGATAATCTGGAAATATCTGGGAAGAAGCAGCCTCTTGAAAGAGGTGTCTTGTCTGTAGGTAATTATTGACTGTTGAGGAGCAACATGTGGGTGAGGAATGTTGGTGTAAATGCCCTGTTTCACTGTTAAGAGACAAAYGGAAGGCTCTGTTAGACTCGCAGTGAGCAGCACGGTGATGATATCAGCGTCTTGAAGTGATTCAACACATTGTCCAGTCTTCTCCTGGCTCTCCTGACCCAGTCTTCTGGAAGGAGCAATAAGGGGGAGTTTTCCTTGTATTATTTGAAAAGTCTCACTGACTGTCTTATGTGAATAGGGTGAACAGAGAAGTAACACRTTCTGTAGCTGGCTGTTGTTTTTGAGGTTGTG